GGCGCAAGGTTGTTTCAACTTTTTGTTTGACAATGCATTCTAATTTGAAAACTTTGACCGAAAAAAAAGTGCATACAATAGCAGAATAAAAGATATCCTTTTAAAAACGGAAAAAGAAGTCATATCATTGAAAATGAGAAAAACTTTCTTTTGTACGCAGATGTCAGAAAGTTTCACAAATTCTACTGAACACACTTTTAGCCCGCTACGCTGTTGCTAACTCTTAAGTTCAATTGCTCGCTCTAAATGGTGTTTGCACGTAAAAAGACAGTTGTGAATTTTCATGTTACTTAAAAATTTAAAAAAAATTTTTTTTAATTATTTAAACAGCTTAATAGTTGTCTTTTGCAGTTAAAAAAATTTAATATAAAAAATAAAAATTTTTGTTACTTTTTGTTTTTCCAAAACAGATAATTACAACGAACTGCGCTTTCATGAATGGTCCTATGGGAAATTGGTTTTCCACCAGTAATTCTAAAAAGTGCCTTTCCAATTTTCTGCGCTATCTGCTTGTAAGTAACAACATCTTCCTCTGCGCAAGTTGGATACAGAAAAAGAAATACATTTATTATGGTGGAATTGTATTTTAATTTTCTGCTAACAGGACAGCTGCTCTGTAGTTAGCTTTCTGAAATTTCTATTATAGTAATTGTTAGAAACTGGGCACTGTTTACCTGCATCATACTTGTAACAGATACCAAAATTAGTATTATTAATCTACTAGGATAACAGCAGTTTCGAACACCTTCAAACTCATAAGCTGCGGGAAGCCATCATCTGACACTTAACTTTTAGTATGCAGAAGCTTGTTCCGCAAAATACTAGTAAAACTCAGTTAAAATAAAATATGCTTTATTCTTCAAAGTATTTTGCTCACTATTTCCTCAGTAGTTGTTTTGCAGTAGCAAAGCTTTTAAACGCTAAGAATCTTCTGAGTTTACAGACTTTTACTGAAAAAAACTCCATAAGAACTTCAAACTAAGCCATAACAGTTGAGGTTTTTATTCAGAAGACTGAGTTGCCGTCAAAAGATAACTTAGAATCTTCTGCATTTTCAGTACACAAACTTTTATGATTTATAAATTTACTTGGTAAAATTAACTATTCAGAGTAAACAAACAGTATCTGAGATAATGTTATTACCTGTGTTGAATTGTTTCATATTGTATTTTCAAAGACTACGAATGCAATCACCAACTAAAAGCTGTTTTTATCTACTTAATGTCGACTGTGGAAAATGCACGGCCTACTTAATTCAGTATTACTTTCAGAAGCAAGGAGGCTTAATAAACACCATTCTCTAGATGTAAACTGTATTTAATTCTATTATTTGCAAAAATTTGGAAGTTTTTGTAATTTATCTAAAACTATTAAAGTGTTTCTTTAAAAGTTTTAAAACTTTTAAAAACTACAGTTGTTTATAATTAGAAATCATTACAAATATCAAAACTCTATTTCGTTTTTATAATGAGAGGCTTGCCAAAATAATTGTTCGAACATTAAGTCGCTAATCGAGAAAATGATGTCATCAATTTTATACATCGACAACCATTTATGGTTTTCTGCAAAATATCTCCCTTGCTACACTGTTCATTTATCCTTATTTTAATAGTTTTCGGTAACTTTTTTTCATGCAGAAGGCTATCAGTGAGAATCTGAAATTTCATTTTTACTATTAGATATAGCGGTAACAGTACTAGAATAGACAGAGAGTTCCACTGGAGCACAACCTCAGTTCTGTGTAGCACAAATTAATTAATTA